TTACGGTGAGTTCCTAGGAGACCAACTGAGACGGTGGAAACTAGAGTTTGAATGGCTCACGCCTAAAACGCAAAGGTTCGGGATTTCCGAGACTAAAGTCTGGTTTAAATACCCAGGGGTATATCCTCGGCTTGAAATCTGTATGGCAGCCCCATAGATTGAGATAGCATGTGTATGCACCTCAATTCTGGATACTAAACCAACCTAGTCCGTCACCCTGTTGGAGAATAGGAAAAGCTGCAACCATAGTCAGGGAGAAAAGTAGTACCTACAGTTCAACCGAGAAGAAGCAAAAGATCCCCAGCGGCATGAGGCACGATATTGTATGTACGGTTCATTTGAAGCTGGTGCGACCAGACGAACCGGACGGTATTGTATTCTCCGTGTGAGACGTGGTGAGAATTGCATAATTCTCTTGTATCGTTTCTGCATATAATGTAGTTTGGTTGATTTCATTTGCCTGCTTAAACTGTTGCATTCGTTGTGTATGATTGCTTCGCTACGGCTACCTTTGCATAATCATAAGTTACGTCTGACTTTGTGCATATCATTTTGCATCTTGCCCCCTGCCTGCAGGCATGCCTGCGGGGACATTTCTGTTTGTCTTGCTTGTTTGTCTAAGTCTTCGGCCTTGTCGAAAATGGGTCGTCTCTGGGCTTTGACATTCGCTCCCGTCACTTATGACTTCCGAGTTCTGTCAAAGAGGGGCAACGGTAGACACCCCATTTTTGACCGACCTTAAGACTCAGACATCACCAGTTGAGCGCTCGGTGATATTGCATATCGTGCTCATCCAGAAGTTTCAGAGTCCGGCTGCAAGCCTTGCCTCCAGACTTCCGGACTCTTTCGTGCCTTGCCTCGGTTTGCGAACCAGGCTCTGTTTTCTCTTCCCAAAGGGAGGGAGAGGTCTCGTAGACCATCTCTCAGTGGCCGTAGGCTACGTTTCGTGGTCGTAGGCCATTTTTCCCGTTTGGAGCCCGGTTTCCGTTTTTTTCGGAGCTGACGGCCGTGTGCTTCGGTTCGGGACCGCTTAACCACCTCTGTTTGCTCCGGTTTTTGGCATACACCTTATTTCCTCCCTTTTGAGGAACACTGTGGCCTGAGAGACCAACTTCGTGGTCAAATGCCACCTCCGGTGCTTAACAGCCCATTTTCAGGGCCTCGGGCCGCGCGTTTCGGTCCCCGAACCTCCGTTTTGCATCCATTTTGGTTCATTTTTGGTGGAGACCTTATTTTCATAGTTAGGAAGCTTTTAGGAGGGTGGGAGGCCAGCAATTGTTCTGAAAAGCCAGCTTTATTTCTTCATCGCTCTCCGACGCCCGTTTTCCTCACTTGAAAGCCAATGTTGACCACCCCGGGGCCACTTTATTGAACCCTAAACCCCATATTTGTGTTGTACACACCTGGGAGGTGGTCGGCCGGCCCCTTGAACCTTCTGAACCTGGCTGGCCGTGATCCTCTCACCTGGTTACTTACAGCTGCACCCTTTGTTTCCCCCCAGATCCTGTATCCGAGGGGGGTCTTTTAGGGGGGAAATTTGAATTTGATTTTTCCCCCCTTTCCTCCATTCCTTTGCCTATATAACCAGCACCCCCAGCTGCATTTTAGAGGCTTACAAGAATTGGTTTGGAGCTCTTGCATTAAATCTCCCTCTCTCTCTATTCCAACCCTCAAAACACACTTAGTCCTACACCATTTACCCTACACCTCATAGCACAAGGCCTCCATCCTCCATTCCAGCAACTTGAGGCTGCTTTCCAGAGGTGAAGAGCTCCAAAAATTGGTCCAAGAGCTGCTGGTTCATTGGTCTACAAGGGTGAGTCCCATTTTCCCTCTTT